GTCCGTGATAGAACTCTGCTTGGCCTTCTTGGGGCCCCCCTTGGTCCCATCGGGCCGTCCTGGGTCGATCTCAGGTGCTTTCGTGGGCAGTGCGACAATCCGTGGCGTCCCGAGGCCCATCGGAACAAACATCTCGGGCCGTGTTGGGGCCGCATTGGGCAATCTTGGGCCGCTCTTCGTGATGGGCCCATCTTCTACAACCGCTACCGTAGGTAGGAGAGGGAGGAGGAGGAGGAGGAGGAGGAGGAGGAGGAGGAGGAGGAGGAGGAGGAGGAGGAGGAGGACCCTCCCTATCCTCCCTTCTCCCCCGTCCTACTTATGGCAGTGGTGGTGGAGAACTTGCCCATCACTTCGAGCCCCCTGCGGACTCTTTTGGGCCGTCTTGGGCACCCTCCATGCCGTCTTGGAGCCGTCCTGCGGCGTCCCGGGGCCCTCTTCGGGGGGCCTTTGGGGCCGTTTGCGGGCAAGCTTCGAAGGTAGTAGGGCCGTCGTGCGCGCTGTGGAAACGAGAAGCGCGAACTGCGAAAAATGCCGTTTTCATTTTTCCGAAAGGATCAGGACGAGTTTGCTTCTTGGGGCCCTCTTGGAAGCCTTCTTCGAGGCCTCTGGGGGCGTCTTGGAGGCCCCTTGGGCGGCCCTGGGAGCCGCTCGATGACGTCTGGAAGACGTCTATTTGGGCCGCCCGAGGCCTCCTTGGGGCCACCGCAAGCCGTCTCGGGGTCGCCCTGCGGACCTCTGGAGGCGGCCTGGGGGGGTCCTCCAAATCCCTTATTAATCGACCCCCCCCCTCAAAAACCGGACCCTCCTCCAAATGCGACCTAATATTCCGGTCCCCCCTCTTCGACGAGGTGCCTTGATATACCGCCCCCTGAGCTCCGATCCACAGAGAGCGCCCTAATAAATCGGACCCCCCCAATTATAGAAAGGGCGCCTTAAAAAACCAGACCCGGGGGACGAATAAGAAGGGAATTGGAGTACCGGGAGCCGCCCAGGGAGCGCGGCACAGCTGGCCAGCACGATTTTGGGCCATGGGGTCACCCGCCCTTGCCGCACGCGGCGCCGCCGGCGATGTAGTCCAGACCCGAATCAGATGACATACCGAACGCATGCTGAAGGAAGGTCATGGATCGGCGGCGAGCGAGGGGGGGAAGTAGGAAGGAGAAGGCCTTCTCAGAAGGCGGCGGGACTTCTCAGAAGCCCTCGCGCCTCCTGAGAAATGATTTGTTGAGTCTTCGGGGAAGGCTTCGAAAACTTCTCAGAAGGCCAAGGGACTTCCGAGCCTTCTGAGAAGGCCCGCCCCTTGTCACTTCCCCCCCAAGCTCGCCGCAGAATGAATGCTGTCATTGTCCGCGCGGCTCGCATACGGAGCAGGAACCACTGGTGATAGTACGTTACATCCCCAAGAGCCCCTTCCGAGACTCGCCAAGCAACCACGCTGCCTGCTGCCACTGCCCGCCTTTTTCGCACGCGCTGATCCCAGCGCTGTAGTCGATGGCGGCGGGCTCCAAGGTCGCCTCCCTCATCTTGCTGAGCACTAACAATGCTTGCTGCCAGGGCCCGCTTTTCTCACACGCGCTGATCCCAGCGGCGTAGCTGATGGCATCGGGCTCCAACGTCACCTCCCGCATCTCGCTTAACAATGACAGTGCTCGCTGCCACTGCCCGCCTTTATCGCACGCGCTGATCCCAGCGCTGTAGCTGACGAGGTCAGGCTTCAACGTCTCCTCGCACATGCTTCTGAGCAAGGATAGTGCTCGCTGCCACTGCCCACTTGTCTCGCATGCGCTGACCACAGCGTTGCAACTGATGGCATCTGGCTCCATGTTCTCCTCCCGGATCTCGCTGAGCAACGCCAGGGCCCGTTGCCATTGCCCACCTTTCTGGCACGCGCTGATCCCAGCGTTATAGCTGATGGCGTTGGACACCAACATCTTCTGCCGCATCTCGCTGAGCAGCGCCAGAGCCCGCTGCCACTGCGACCCCTTCTCGCACGCGCTGATGCCAGCGCTGTAGCTGATGGTGTTGGGCTCCAGCATCGCCTCCCGCATCCTGCTGAACAGGACCAGAGCCCGCTGCCACTGACCGCCCTTCTCGCACGCACTGATCCCAGCGTTGCAGCCGATGGCGTCGGGCACCAGCTTCGCCTCCTGCATCTCGCCGAGCAGCGCCAGAGCCCGCTGCCACTGCAGGCCCTTCTCGCACGCGCTGACCCCAGAGTTGTAGCCGACTGCTCTGTGCCTGTGGATGACATCCACGAGAAACGTGTCGAGGGGCTCGACCGTGCTGCGCTGATGGGCCGATTTCCCACCACCACTACCATAGGTAGGATATTGAAAACGAGGAGGAGGAGGAGGAGGAGGAGGAGGAGGAGGAGGAGGAGGAGGAGGAGGGACTTCCCATCCTCCCTTCTCCCCGTCCTACCTGTGGTGGCGGTGGTGGCGAATTGGCCCAGCACGTGCTGGTTCCTCCATGCCAGCCTCTCGGTCTCTCCCACCGCGCCGCCGCCGCCGCAGCCGCCGCCGCCCCGCGCCACCGTGGGGCGCGGAAAACACGGGCACGAGGGCCCCCGCTTCGTGGATCGCGGGCGTCGGGCCGAGGGAGGCCCGTTTGGCGCAGAGGGGAGGCGCCAAGGGAGGCGCCGAGGAGGCTGGCAGAGAGCGAAGCGACCTCGGGACGTCCAAAAGCGTGCAGCAAGCGGCTCCAACACCCCAGGGAGGTCCAGCCGGCCAGGCCGGCCTCTCCTCTCCTCCCTCCCTCCCTCCCTCCTCCCTTCCTCCTCCTCCTCCTCCTCCTCTTCCTCCTCCTCCTCCTCCTCCTCCTCCTCCTCCTCCTCCTCCTCCTCCTCCTCTCCTCCTCCTCCTCCTCCTCCTCCTCCTCCTCCTCCTCCTCCTCTCTTCTCCTCGTCTTCCTCCTCCTCCTCCTCCTCCTCCTCCTCCTCCTCCTCCTCCTCCTCCTCCTCCTCCTCTTCCCTGCCCCGGCTCGTGGCGACTCTGCTCCCTCCTCTCCGGCACCAGCGTGACGCAGGAGACCAGCCTGGGCGGCCTGAAGGCCCCTGCGCCAGCGCGCCGCTCGCGGCACCTCCTCTCGCCCGCCTCTACTCCTGCCCCGGCCACCGGCTCACGCTGCCGCTGCCGCCTGCTGCGCTTCGTGACGTGGAGGGAGGAGCAAAAGCACAGACACAGAGGCGTTCGGAGGCCCGCGCGGATTCCTCGGATCGGCACGCTGGGCCACCCCCATCCTGGGCGCGCGGGCCGAGCCGGCCGAGCCAGGGGCCGCTCCGGAGGCGCCGCCAGGAGGGCCCAACGCCGATCCAGGAACTCCGTGCGGACCTCCGAAGGTTTATGGTGAGCGATTTCTTCTTCGGCGTTTCGACATTGAGCGAAGAGGGGGGGGGAGGGGGGGGGGTTCTGGCTCTGGACCTCTGCTTAGCGCGACTGTTTGCGACATTGCGTCCTATGAGGGGAGGCTCCACCTGCTCGAAACAGGCGCCAAAAACAGGCAAGATCTACTCATTGGGAGGGGGGGTAGGGGGGGTGCGAGGGCCCGCGCCGATCAGCAAAACAAGGAATAACAAACGATCGCATGTTTATGCCTTGCTTGTTCCCCTGTTCCTGTCGCTTTGCCTTCGACTCGCAGCTACTTCTTTGGGCCTGCTGCGGCAGGCGGCTGTGTGGCTGCGCTCGCTGCCACTGCGCTGCTCCATGCTCTCGTGGAGTGCAGGAGCACCCAGTACTTGTCCCACGTGTCTCTGCACATGCTCGCGAAAACGATGCTTCGACACATGTCGTTCAGCAATCTCGGTAGTGTAGCACCGATAAGAAAAAACGGACAGACGCCAGCGACGACTCGATACACACTATTAGAAACCCTTATGCTCGAGCAACGTCCGAAGGAGCATATGGGAAGACATCCCTCGAGTTTACCGCACTTTCTAATCAACGACATGTTCCTTCTGGCCAGGACCTGGGGTTACGAGTCTTCGCTTCGAAACAGCAGTTGATGAGGGGAGGGGTGTGAGGAGAGAGGAAGGAGGAGGAGTGATAATGAGGTAGCAGGAGGCGAGAAGAGGGACGAGGATCAGAGCGATTGGCGAGGAGCGAGGAACGTGCACCGAGAAGCGATGAGGGATCTCGAGAAGCGGACAGTGCGCCATTCCCAAAGCGGTCCTGGCCGACGTGTGGCCGAGCACTTGGCCTCATCTTGGGTCGTTCACTCACGGGGCCAGCCCGAGACCTTCTTGGGGTCTCCTTCGGGGCTTCTCAGGCTCCCTCGGGGCCCTCCCGAGCCTCAAGGGGGGCAGCTCACTGGGGCCCCTGGATGCTGTTTTTTTTTGGGGGGGGGGGGGGCGGGGGCGCATGGGGAGGCGCGTTCTCGCCATCGCTCGGACGTCCATTCCCTGTGCATGTTTCGGTTTCGTGCGTGCATGTGTTCGCAAGGTGAACAAAAAGGCTCCTCGATGGCCAGCGCAAAGACAAAGGCACACGTCCGAGCGATGCCAAGCGCTGGGGCCACCTTGGAATCTCGGAGCGGTCTCGGGCCGCGTGCCATCATCTTGGAGGCTGGCAGGGAGCCATCCATCTCTCGAGCAGCAGAGTGGAGCTCGCCATCGGTCGGACGTCCACTCCTCGTGCATTGTTCGGTTCCGCGAATGCATGCTTCTCCAAGGTGACCCCAAAAGGCTCCTCGATGGTCCTCGCCGAACATTTGCACACGTCCGAGCGGGGCCAAGGGAGAGTGCCGAACGCATCGGAGCACGTGCAGGAGTCTTGCCGCTTGCGCGCGTCGGAGCCCAGGACTGAGGCCAGGTTGGGGCCGCAGGGCGCCCCCGTGGGAGCCTGTTCGGTCGGCGAGAGCGTCGCCAGGGGGTCCAGGTCCAGGAGCCTTCCTGGACTGCCTGCCGACCACGGCCTGGGCTGCTCGCACGCGCTGCCTGGCATCGTGGCGTAGATGACGTTGGGCTCCAGCTTCGCATCCCGCGTCTCGCCGAGCAGCGCAAGCGCCCGCTGCCACTGCTCGCCCTTCTGGCACGCGCTGGTCCCAGCGCTGTAGCTGACCAGGGCTGACCCGTGGACTAACCCACGACACCTGCGCGAACTGGCATGTGATTGTGGAGATGCTGCTGGCAAGCTGGAATGACAACGTGGGGCTCGAACTTCTGTCTGCGAATGCTACTGCGTGCTGCTGCTGCTGCTGCTTGCTGCCTCTGATGCAAGATGTTGGTTATGCCTGTCGCTGTTGCGTGCTGATGCTGCTTATGGCTGCAGGGTGCTGCTGATGGCCAATGATGCTTTGGCGTGCTGCTGTCCGCTGCCTGCTGATGCGTGCTGTTGCCGTGTGCTGCAGCTGATGCGCCCTGCTTTTTGCTGCGAACTGCTGCAAAGTGGTGCTTCTCGCTGCTTCAGCTTGCGAACGCGACCTCCTGCCGGGAACGGACCGAGGAGCCAGGATACGGAGAAGCCGAGGGAGGAGCGGGGAGACGTGAGGAGCGATCAACCAAGAGCGAGAAGGGAGCATCGACAGCCGAGGAGGCAGGGGCGAGGAGGGAGGCAGGGAGAGCCGAGGGAGGGAGGACGCGGGAGGGAGGGCGGCTGTCTTGGGGGGGCATCTCGTGGCAGCCTGGCGCTCGCCTCCGAGGAGGCCTAGAAGAAAGGGGAAGACGACGGAAAGGTAGAGGCACGGTGGGGGGCATTGGGTCTGGAAGCCAGTGGAACTCCAATCGAGGCTCGGCCATGGATATCACCGCCGCCCTCGTTGAATAAGGAACCCTCCAGGGTCTGGCGCCCCCTGGGACTATTCCTTAACACACGTCTCCACCACATGGGTACCATTTCCTCCTCTGAGAAAGAAGCCCGTCGGGCCCCAGGCACTTCCTCACGAACGTGCTCCTGCAGCGTAGAGGACACGACGTCGGGCTCCAGCTTCGCCTCCCGCATCTCGCCGAGCAGGGACAGGGCTCGCTGCCACTGCTCGCCCGTCTCGCACGCGCTGATCCCGGCGTTGCAGATGACTAGTGCTGACCCGCGGCCGTGGACTACGTCCACGACAGCTGCGCGCATTGGCATGGGATGGTGAAGGTGCTGCCCAACGGCGGAAGTGATGACGCGGGGCTCGAACTTCTCGTCATGCAGTTCCCGATGCAACCCTCGGGCCCCTCCTGGACCCGTCGTGGGATCTTGGATGATTCCGGGAACCTCAGGACCGGTCTTGGAAGCCTCTGGGAAGAACTCTTCGGCGGCGAGCGAGGGGGGCAAATGAGAATGAGAAGGCCTTCTCAGATAGCTCAGAAGTCCCCTGACCTTCTGAGAAGTTTTCTGAGCCTTCGCGGAAGACACAAACAATAAACATTTCAGAAGGCGAAAGGGCTTCTGAGAAGTTCCGCTGGCTTCTGAGAAGGCGTTCGTCTTATTTGTCTTCTTCTTTCTCTTCTTAAGACTATTATTATTAATATCCTTTTTTTCTTCTTCTTATGACTCTTCAGATTCTCCTCTTCGCACTTCCCCCCTCGCCCGCCGCCCGATCTCTGGGGCGGGGACGCCTTCCGCACTGAGGCTCGGGAGCTCCCTGTCCTGGGGCTGCCTTGGGCCAGGAGACGGCGCCGCCCCTCGCGCGCAGCCGCGGGGGGCACCGCGGCCCGGGAGAGGCACACGTCCGGCCCCCCGCTGCCTCCTCCTCCTCCTCCTCCTCCTCCTCCTCCTCCTCCTCCTCCTCCTCCTCCTTCTCCTCCTCCTCCTCCTCCTCCTCCTCCTCCTCCCCCTCCTCCCCCTCCCCCTCCTTCTCCTCCTCCTCCTCCTCCTCGTCCTCCTCCTCCTCGCCTCTTCCTCCCCCTCCTCCCTCTCCTCATGCATTTTTTTTCCCCCGCGCCCCGGGTCTGGGGCCACTGCGGGTTATTATTTTGCCTCCGTCGCCCTGCCCCGTCAAGCATCTAGCATCGGCGACGCGTCGCCGAGAGATCGGCGAGAGGCCCCCGATCCCGCACGCGCACGCTCCTGGGCAGGCTGGGGCTATCGGGCCCCTCGCGGCGATGCGTGGGCGAGTAGAGGTCAATGCACCCCCCCTATGACCGCCCCCCCACGTATCGGTGCCCCTGGCCTGACGGCCATCCTGTCAGGACTGCCAGACGCCCCGCGACCATTCAAAGCCGCGCGAGCTCAGACAGGGCACTGTACTGGAGCGGGACTTGAACTCATCCTCCCTCTCGTTTTCTTCTTCTTCTTCTTATTACTATTACTATTATTATTATTATTATTATTAGTATTATTATTATTAGTATTAGTATTATTAGTATTAGTAGTATTAGTATTTTTTATCACTAATAATATTATTATTATTTTCTTCTTCTTCTTATTATTAGTATTATTATTATTCGCCATCATGTCGCTGTCCGTCGCATTCCCCCAAAAAAGAACGAGGAAGATGGAGTTTCAGACCCCATCCAGTTCGGACCTTGTGCGGTACCAGACAGGGCACTGAACTGAAACGGGTCTTCAACTCAACCTCCTCGTGCTGCTTCCCCCTCTACATCCTTCTCCTCGTCCTCTTCTGCTTCCTCCTCTGTTCATCCCTGCCGCCTTTCATGGGTGTTCTCATTCTACGCCTCGCCTGGTCGTTACGACTTCTCGCGGAGGGGGGGGGGCTGAACAAAAGGCGCTGCTGGAGTAGGGTGGAGGCGAACAGCTTGGCAAGCCGGTAGCATTGACAACGAGCGGGTTCTGGACGACATGGGGAGTCTGTAGCCTCTGCCTGGCTGGTCTGGGAGGGTCTCGTCCGCGTCTTGGCGCTTCGGGGGGCTCTCGGGCGGAGCGCGAGGCCGCTGAGGTCGGTGAGGGAGGCGTCCAGGCGCACGGGACTGAGGCGTCCGAGGGGCCAAGGGGCCAAGGGCCATCTGGACTCACTGGGCCCTTCTCGCACGCGGGCTGTCCCCAGTTGTAACAAAAGTGGCGTTGGGCTTGAGCTTCACCTCCCGCACCTCGCTGAGCAGGGCCAGAGCCCGCTGCCACTGCTCGCCCTTCTTGCACGCGCTGGTGCCAGCGCTGTAGCTGACTAGTGTGAGCCCGTGGAAAATCCACGACCCGCAGGTCCAGGCGCTGGTCCCGAACGCGCACGTGTCGCCGAGGCCTGCGGAAAAGGGCACGGCGCAGTAGATGGAAGCCCTTCGGGCCGTGTCTGGGGCCTTTGGTCCTGGGTCGAGAGGGCAGTCGATGCAATGGCAAAAACCTTCGGGTTTTCGCTCGTCGCGCCAAGGATGGGCGCGATTAGCAAAAACCCGATGCTTTTAAAGGCGTGTCGAAGTTTCCAGAAGGAAGAAGAGGTCGATGGGAAGGTGGAATCAGAACCGGCCAGAAGTCCTGGGGCTCGGAGGCCGTGGCTGGGGCCCTCTGAGACCGTGTCCGGGGCTTCTTGGGGCGTCTTGGGGCCATCTTGGGGGCCTCGGGCCGTCTCAAAGGTCGCTTTGGGCCCTCTTGGGCGGCATCTGGGGCCCTTCTTGGGGCGTCTTGGGGCAATCTTGGGGGTCTCGGGCCGTTTCGGAGGTCGCTTTGGGTTCGCTCGGGCGGGATCTGGGGCCCGGTTGGGACTGACTCGGGGGTCACTTGAAGCTCTCTTGGACTGTCTTGGAGCCCTCTTGGGCAGTCTACGGGCCTTCTTGGGCCGTCTGGGAACCCTCCTGGGGGCCTCTTGGACCGTGCAGGTGCGATCTGGGAAGCCCCCGGGGTCATCCTGGGGCGTTGTAGGCCCGAAGTGGTAGGAACAGGAAAACCAATGGAAAAATTACGAAAAAAACGTACAAGTATTGCCCCCTGGCGCCGTCCACGCGGTCCTCGGGGGCCGCCTCTGAAGCCTCTTGGGCCGTCACAGGGCTCTGGTCGGGTCGGCTTCCTGGAGCCGTCCGCGAGCGCTCCAAGGGCCTCCTGGGGCCGTCGAGAAGCGTCCCGGAGCTCTGGGCGGCCCGGGGCACTGCCACTGCTTCTACTACTCGCACTCGCTTTGCCCGCAATTGTAATAAAGATGACGTCGGGCTCCAGCTTCGCCTCTTTCATCTCGCTGAGCAGCGCCAGCGCCCGCTGCCACTGCTCTCCCTTCTCGCACGCACTGATCCCAGCGTTGAAGCTGATGACGTTAGGCTTCAGCTTCGCATCCCGAATATCCCTGAGCAGCGCCAGAGCCCGATGCCATTGCTCGCCCTTCTCGCACGCGCTGACGCCAGCGTTGAAGCTGATGACGTCAGGCTCCAGCTTCGCCTCTCTCATCTCGCTGAGCAGCGCCAGAGCCCGATGCCACTGCTCGCCCTTCGCACACGCACTGATCCCAGCGTTGAAGCTGATGACGTTGGGCTTCAGCTTCGCCTCCTGCATCTCGTTAAGCAGCGCGAAGGCCCGCTGCCACTGCTCGCCTTTCTCGCACGCGCTGATCCCAACGCTATAGCTGACTAGGGCGAACCCGTGGACTTCGTCCACGTCATCTTGGGCCAGTCTTGGCTCGAAAAGGCCGTCTTGGGCCTGTCTTCGCTCGAAATGGCGAGAAGGTGAAAATCTTTCAGAAACCATAAAAGAATCAATGATTTCGTTTGCCGCGGCTCGTCTGGAGCGTCTTCGAGCGGTCTTGGGCCGTCTCGGAGGCCCTCTTGGACCGCTTCCTTCTCTTCGTCCGCCTTCCGCTCTACCTCCGCCTAGACAGCCTTCGGAGCGTCACAGACTGCTATGGTGGGTCTGCGGTGTACGTCTCGCCTCTTGTCAATTTTGGAAACACATGGGGCCTTCAAAAAAGTCACCCGGAAGGCTCTGGTGACTTTTTTTCCGGTTGCCTCTTCGAAGCCTGATGGGGTGCGCTGCCGTCCTTGGGAACGGTTAGTGGGCCTCCCGGGGTTTCTTTTCGAGCTCCTGGGGGCCTGTTGGGGCCTCGTTGGCTGTCTTGCGGCCTCCTAGGGGCCTTTTCGCTTGAAGCTTTTTTGGGCGCCTCTGGGGCCGTTCCCGGGCTGTCCCCCCGAGACTCTTCCGGGGGACAGCCCAGGAAATCTATTGTGCTTGCGTGCTGTGCGTGCGTACTCCTGTGTGAGAGGTCGGAAGGAAGTCCCGACGTCACCGCTCGCTCTTGGGAGCTGTGCCTGGGAGAGCTCTCTAAGCTGCGTCTCGCTCTTGGGAGCCTTGGTGAGAAGAGCTTTCTCGAGGCTGCCTGAGGCCGTCTTGAGAGCCTCTTGGGGCCCCCTCGGAGCTCTCTTGGGGCCGTCTTGTGAGGCCGTTTCAGGGCTCTCTGGCGTCGTCTTGGGGCTCTTGTCGGCCGTCTTGGAGCCCTCTTAGGGGCCGCTGGCGTCTTCTTGGGCCGATCTTGGAGGCCTCTTGGCGTGTCCTGGGAGCACACAAGGCGTGCATGCTGAACATATACGTTTTCCCACCGGAATTTGACGATGTGTGCCTCTTTGGCGTGCGCTCGGGGCCCGTCTTGGGGCGTCTTTGCGGCCTATTGGATAGTCGTGGAGCCCCCCCCCGCAAGGCTTCGGGCCCTCGTGGGCCGTCTCGGGGTGTTGGAGCGCTCTTGGACGGTCTGGGAACCCTCTGGAGCGCCTCTGGGAGGAGCCTCTTGGAGCCCCCTCGGAGCTCTCTTGGGGCTGTCTTGGGAGGAGGAGGAGGAGGAGGAGGAGGAGGAGGAGGAGGAGGAGCAGGAGGAGGAGGAGGAGGAGGAGGAGGAGGAGGACGACGAAGGAGGAGGACCAGGACGGGGCGGAGGAGAAGGGGAGGAGCAGAGGAGGAGGAGGAGGAGGAGGAGGAGGAGGAGGAGGAAGAGGAGGAGGAGACGCTGCTTGGTGCGTGCTGCTGCTGCTGCTGCCTGCCTGCCTGCCTGCCTGCCTGCCTGCCTGCCTGCCTGCCTGCTTTGTGCCTCTGCCGCTCGCCGCTGCTGCTGCTCCTTGGTGGTGTACAGGCCGCTGCTACTCGCCAGCTCCGCTTCTGCTGCCGCGAGCAGCTGCCCGAAGATATCTCGAGTCAGGGCCGAGAAGATCCAGGAGAGAGGGGGGGGAGACGCAAGGAGCGATCAGCGACGCGCGCGCAGGTCAGGACCGAGAAGATCCAGAGGAGAGGGGCGGGGAGGGAGAGCCGAGGAGGGGGGACTCGTGACGGGAGGGCTCTCGGGATGCCTCTCGAGGGGCTGGGGATGCCTCTCGGGGAGCCTCTTGGGCGTCTCTTGAGGCCTTCTTCGGGCCTTCTTAGCGCATCTTGAAGTCCCATTGGGCCCTCCCGAGCCTCCTAGTCGTCCCTGAGCTTGGTTCCTGGGGAAGAAGATTCTGGGCAGGCTGCATCCTTGTCGCCGTGGCTGGATTCGGGGATTCGTCGCTACTGGCTGCATTGTTTTCCGCCCGAGTCCGAGGCGGGGTATCAAGTGTCGGCATTCGCTCCCGAGGGGGTTGTTGTGTTGTGCCTTCCCTGGCGGCCCGAGGGCCTGGCAAGGGGGGCGCCGTGTCGCAGGCTCCCGTGTGGGCCCGAAGGATCCCCTGAGGGCCCAAGCACACCTCGTGGTGCTCGGAGTTGGCGTCTGCGGACCGACGACGGTGCCCCAGGAGGGCGCTTGGCGAACGATGCTTCGTCTGCGGGCCGAGGGCTATTGGCTGGCGTCCGAGCGATGGACAGTGTTCATGTCGTCTGTTGTTCCTCCAGAGTGTCGCTGCCTTTTTGTTTCGAACTAGGGCCCTTGGCCTTAGAGCTACGCAGATAGATTGAGCAGCGCTCTCTTTCGCCAAAAGATCGTCGCGCCGCGCGCGCCATCCATATCACACCCAGAGTCCCTGCCCGAGGGCAAACCCACGCAGGGCTCTGTCCGAGGACACCCCTTCCCAGGGTCCCTGCCCGAGGGCAAACCCACGCAGGGCTCTGTCCGAGGACACCCCTTCCCAGGGTCCCTGCCCGAGGGCAAACCCACTCAGGGCTCTGTCCGAGGACACCCCTTCCCAGGGTCCCTGCCCGAGGGCAAACCCACGCAGGGCTCTGTCCGAGGACACCCCTTCCCAGGGTCCCTGCCCGAGGGCAAACCCACGCAGGGCTCTGTCCGAGGACACCCCTTCCCAGGGTCCCTGCCCGAGGGCAAACCCACGCAGGGTTCTGTCCGAGGACACCCCGTCCCAGGGTCCCTGCCCGAGGGCAAACCCACGCAGGGCTCTGTCCGAGGGCAGCCCCACAACCAGAGGCGGAGTACTCTGGAGTACTCCTGGTTGCTGGGCCGATCGGCCAGCATTCGCCCCCCTGCCCCGTAGGGCAGCTTGGGCTTGGCGGCGCGCCGCCTTGACCGCACAGAGGCCCTCGAGGTCCTCGTTTCGTGCGGGTCCCCGTAATTCACATCATCATTCATTCTCTCTCCTCGCTCCCCCCGCTCAAATTGGAAAATCGAAAAGTGATGGGTGTGAGGGGCGTGTTGGCTGGCGGGGCCTGCGCGGACCGTGGCCTATGCGTGACGGGGGCGGCTTCGTGCGATGCCCTGGGCGATTGGGTGGCCCGCTGGACGGGCACGCTCATCTGCGACGATAACTGCGCTTCCCTGTTTCTTTGTTTTTCCTCCTCCTCCTCCCCCCCTCCCTCCGTTCATCCGTGTCTTCACGTGTCCTGGCCCCGGCCGAGTGGCAGGGGGTGTTGGCTGCTCGTGCGTGGGGCGCCTGTACGCATGCAGTCAACGGGCGAAGCCCGTGCTACGGGGCAACCGTACACAGGGTGTTATCCACGCCGCGCCGGGGGTTACCCGCGCGCCTTGCACAGGTGGCAGGCAAGGCAACCGCAGAAAGGGGGGATCCCCAAATTGGACCCCCCCCCCATTCGCGTGGCAGTGGCGGGTGCAATCCGCCCCAGACGTCCTCCGTGTGGCGGAGGTCCAACCGAAGGCGCCCAGCAACCATGGGCGGAGTACTCCGGAATACTCCGCCTAGCCTGTTCAAGCCAACCAACCAGGGATCGTAACAGGGCATTCAAAATATGAATGCCCCGTGTGCATTATCGCGCGCGCGCGCGTGCTGTGCAGAGTGCGACGTGCGAGAAGGGGCATCCCAAAAGTGGGATGCCCATTATTGAAGCAGGGCAATGGGCACGCGCTGGGCCGCCCTTCGGGGAGGTGCGGATTCTTGGCCCCCCTCCCGTGCCATCGCCGTTCGTGGTCCCGTTGCCTTTTGGGCTCGAGGACTCTGCCACGCGGCCGGTTCTTCTGCGACTGCAGCCCAGGCGTTCACACTACTCTCGCGGCCACACCCGCTCTCACGACGGATGGCGTTCACCGGCTCCGAGGTCCGCGCCGCGCTCGCCGGGCTTCCCGCGTCTGCGTTCGGGGTCGACTCGCTCGAGAAGCGTGCGGCCTGGGTCGACTACGTGATGTCTGTGGACGAGGAGCCGAAGAACAAACACGATTTGTTCTTCTACGCCAGCACGGCCCGCGTGCTCGCCGACGTGGCGGGGTCGGTGGAGCCGGCAGACATCTGCGACGCCCATATGCGCCAATTCATCATCTCGGGGATGGCGGTTAACACGAAACCCTTCCCCGACGAGAGCGAGGGCGTTCAGTGGAAGGCCTTCGTGGTCAAGCCGGCTCACGTCAACTTGGCGTTAAGGGTCCAATCAAAGGCCCAGCAGTCATCGGCCGCGAGCGCGCCGGGCCCGAGTAGCCAGGCAGACCAGACGGCGCAGGCCATCGCCAAGTGGGCGGAGGTCCAGAACGCAAAGGCCGAGAAGGAGGCCAAGCGCGGCACCTTGAGCTTCAACCTGGAGGCCAGGGTGACGGAGGTTGGGTTGCAGTGCATCCAGAAACTGTCGCCGGAGTTGCTCCCTACCGAGGAGTCTCTGTTGCGAATGGAGAACCTTGCCTCCGCCAAGGTCGCAAGAGACAAGAGCCGCAAGTGGGTCGGGTCCTCCGAGGGCGAGGATCTGATCGTCAACTTCCGGCCCGGCTTCTCCAAGACACCCAAGCTGGACTTGCTCCTCGGGTCTGGCTCACTGGACGACAAAGCGCGGGATGCCCGGGAGGCAAAGCGCGCCCGCACTGCAGAGGAGCGCACTGGCTTCCTGGGCTTCGCCAACTTCATGGGCCACCTGCACGACTGGGGCCTCAAGATGGTGCTGTCCAAGGTGATCACCCCGGTGCAGTTCTGGGCCTACGAGCTCCAGCTGGTCAAAATGTCAGAGGAGCAGGGTGGCGGCCGCGTCGTGTTCTACTACGACATGCTCCTGCGGCAGAAGCTCGCCCACGCGCTGGAGCTTGGCCAGAACGACCAGATCGAGGCGCTCCTCTGCAAGCTCGACAGGGATGTGTTGCAGGACGCCAAGCACCAGGTGTCGAAGCGCGCCGAGGAGGCCAGCCGGGTGACCGGGAAGCAGCCCGCCGCTGCTGGCGGCAACGCCGGGGCGCCCAAGGGTGACCAGAAGGGCGGCAAAGGCGGCGGCGCCAAGACCTCGCCGGCCCCGGTGT